CTTGCACAAGAAGTGCTATTTATCATCGCACTGAAAAGTGCTATTTATACCAACACTCTCAATGAGCATACAATAGATATTATATTATTTTCATACACCGTTAATTAAATAGGAGTATCTGTAGATTCTAACATATCAAATATCACATAAACGTGCATTGGGTAATTCATACCATAAATATTCCATTTTTCACATAATATAAGTAGATCATGGAAACATCACTTACTACTTTCCTTTTTGACATATGGAAATTATATTTCATCATATGATAAATATCATAATTATCATGCCAAGATATTAAAGTTGGCATATTTCAAACATTTAAGATAGCTATAACATAAGAGTAGCATAAAAAACATATTTTATGACAAATTTCACATGCTGGCAATTAGCGCTACCCTCAAAGAAATATTATTTTGTATTAATATAAACATTTAAAAATTATTTTATTTGTACCAATGGAAACTAGACTCAAATAAGAGTCTAACCATATAGGTCACTTCTTCTAGTTCAACTTGTACAATTTATAGATAATTTTCGAAGTTGACTTACAAAAGCTGTTTTGAGCAGAAGTTGTTGCCCTATTTTCTAAACTATCCCCGCTTAAAAATTCATATATTTTTCTATACTCATTGAAATAAATATCCTTTTATTTTTTTAAAAAATATACTTATATACAAATCCAATGGTATAAAAATCATTCTCTAATCATTTATGTAGAATTTATGGTATTTTTTAACTTACTATTAAGATCACAAATCTAAATAGAATTCACCAATTTGCATTTTCATCTAATCACAATTTGCATTTTCATCTAATCATAAATTATATTAGCTCACCAAATGAATAATATATGCATGAATCACATATTCACACAACATTAGGAGTCACTTCTTACCATAAAAACTCCATCATTGGCTCATCGCAAGCCAATGTTTGGTTGATAACATAAATACAAATTAAATATGCACTCACCTGGTGTCCTTAGCTTGCAAACCTCCCTTGGAAATTCACATTTCATCCTTAAGCTTCCCTCAACTTTAATATTGCTTGATTTTGATTTCAATCATAATATAATGAATATCATTATAGGACATACATTTCAAACCACATGTTAGAGTCTCTCTAACATAGACACACAATAGAAAATAAATTCCTGAAACCATTTCGTTGCTCATTCGATGTAAATTCCATGTCACAACATAAATGTTGACTTTAATACTTCAATTTTACCATTCAATTTCCTTTTTATCCAATTTATCCTAACTTCACATAACATTAACACTTAAGTTTCCAACGTTTCCATATTTGTGATTTGATCCTCAACATTTACCAACTTTCCAAAGTGATTCAATTTCACATTGTAACATCAATTTCAACATTCTAACATTAGTTTCCAATATAGTCCATCAACTATTGAACAATTACACATTGATCCCATAACTTTCCATAATTATCGAATAGGCCCTCTAACTTTCATAAAATTACAAATTGGCCAAAACAACTTTCTAATGATTGTAGAACCTTCCAAATATCATTTATAAGCCATGGGAAATATTTCACAATTTTCCACATTTATAACCCTAAGGTCAAAATTCATAAGGGTTAGGATTTCATGGTTTTCACTTGATTCGAGCATGAAATCAAACTCTATTTAACATTTTGAGGCCTCTACAATCAAACCCCTAACTTAATTTCATCAAATCACAACTTTCTCCAAACTTAGCATTTAGTCTAAATTTAATAGAACCATTTCTAGGTGGTTTTAACCTCAATCAAGCTTGAAAATGATTCTATAACATCAATAACCTCAAAATCCATCATCATTTCATATAGCCCTAATAAATTAAAAAACCCTAGAATTTAGGAACTTAACATTCAAGCAAGATTATAATACAATAATGGTATCAAATGATAGAGCTCTTCGAATAGAACAATTTTCTATTTCACGTATTAATCCAAAAACCAAAGGAAAATGCTTGAAAATGAAAAAGCTTGTGAAGCTCTCATCCATGGCTGATTTTGAAGATGAATTTGTCATGAAATTGTTAGTTAATTTCATGTTCATTTGTCATTTATTAAGCTTAAATGAATTTAAATTTCATTTATTGGGAAATGACAATTTTACCATTAATGAAACTTGATAGTTACATCCATACTAAGCCACATAACACTTATCATCTTCCAAAGTCAACTATGAACAAATTAATTTACCCTATTCCACTTTACCCAAGCATTTTGTTTTCTAAAAATTTCAATATTGTCATTTTTATCCAACAATCCAAATTGAACATGAAAATAAATTCTCAAATTCAATGATCCATATTATTTTACATCATTTTAAAATGTGAAAAATAATATTTCTCAGATTAATTTAATTATCCTTCAAATTTTCTCAAATTTCTATTCAATCTGATTTACCAATTTTTATCGGACTTTACAATTTCTAACTTTGAACACAAATTCCATATCAAGAATCTGATTCCCACCAAAATGTCATTCTTAGGGGTGAACTATTTATTTATGGGGCCAAAATACATAACTTTTAAAAATTACACTTTTGGTCCCTAAACTTTTTAAAATTGTATGTTTTGTCTTTAAACTTTTACGACCTTTATACTTTGGCCATTAAACTTTCAAATTTACATTTTGCTCATTAACCAAAATTTTGGGGTATTACATGTTCGAGTCCTACATGCTCTCAAAGTTGCAAAGTTTAATCGTAGACTGAAACTCTGATATCGTTCGTTAATCGCTAATTGGTAAGTTAATGTGATAGTCTTAACTAATAAATGGGTAACAAAGATAAATCTATAAGATAAAATATATGGAGTTGACTAATTTGGGAATATGAAACCTATTGAGTTTGGCATATCGGGTGCTAAATTATGACAAGAAAGGTTTGAGTGAGGAACCTAGTATCTCATGGCAAATATAGCCAAAAAAGTAATTTATTAATATATGAATAAAGGTACTTAGATAGAAGTGTAGAAAAAGTGTTTAAAAAAAAGAGTTTGTGCCTCAGTAATAGATATGTGTGGAATGATGATATCTGATAACTCTCCAAAAGTGTTATATTTTAGATCCTTTTTACTTAGGTTATATTTGCACTTTAGCATTTTTAGAATCATATTTAGATTGATTTTAGCATATTTTACATCATTTTCATATTTGGAATGAATTATCGGTACTTGGGCAGATTTTGATGTTTTGTTACAAATTGATATACTGATGTTATGACATTGTTAATGTCGTAGTCGTTGTTGTACGTTAATGTTATATTAGATTGATGCGATGATTCTGCAGCATTGCTGAGTCACAAGGTGGTTAGAGAAATTTCAAGAAATAATAAAGCTACGGGATTAAAGGTTGGAGTTTGAATTTAAAAAGAAATTATCATTAAAAATGATATTTATATTGCTGGAAAGCTTGATTTTGATGGGCTATAAATACAATATTTTTTACACATTTTCCCACCTTGGAAAAAACCCTAGCCGCCTCCTATTTTCTCTCCTACCATGGCCACCTAAACATTTCGTTGGGGAGTGCAGCAACAATTAGGAACACTACCGTGTAGCAGCAATGATCAAGTGGAGTTCTACTTTAAATTTCTCCTTTTTCCTCATATAGGGAAGTGACAATTATTTAGTAGAATAGTTATGTTATTTTGGATGTTATTTAGTTTTTGAACATAAAGTGTTTGATTAAATGTTTGTTGTTATGTTTTAGTTTAAACTTTGTTTTTATGTGCTGTCGTTTTTATGGGAAGATTTTAGAAATTAATATATCTCTTTGTATGTAATTTTTATAGTTTTTAGAAATAAAAGTTATGGAATTTTTCATACTACCTTTGTGCAACATTGATGTTTGTGAAAAACAAAGTTAGTATATAGAAATGTATGTTGCTAATTGTCCAGTATTGTTAAGTTTTTGATCAAATTGAATTAATGAATGTTGATTCTTGTTAATTGAATGGTGTTAATCATTGATATACACATGAATTCACTATTTTAAGCATATCTATAGTGGGAAAGGCTAAATAACACCCACTTCCAATGAATCTTTAATATGTTGCTCCCCCCAAATGTGGTAGCACTGCCTGACATTTACCATTTTGATTTCTATAATTTGTTGTTTATTTTATATTTCATCATTCTACCAGACATCCTTGGAAATCTTTCGTACAACTCTATTGTAATTGGTTTTGCTCTATGTGGATTCGACATCCGAAGCTTTATTAGTTTCCACTTTATTATTTGAATGATATGTATACTTGTGTGATTGATATAACATCTTACGTCAAGTTTTTGGTGCTATTTTCGGAGAGCAACTGTTTTACTTTAGAGTTGTTTCTTTGCTTTTTAATTTTGTTTATTTTCTTATCAAATGTACATTTTTTCTAGCATAGTGTTGCTGGTGCATGACCCACAGCAACAATCAAGATCTAGAGCCTTTTAATCCTAAATCGAACATACGTTATGAGAACGTTGTAGATAAGAAGCCTGAAATTGAGTAAACATGGCTCAGCATAGTGATGGTAACAACGCTTTGCCACCAGTGGAAAATGGTGAGGATGGATTGTCGGATGCCAATGTAGTAAACCAACAGTATTATTGCAACAGGATGATCAAAACCGGCCTATCCGGGAGCACGTGTTGCTAACACTCAATGATTTACATCCTGATATTGTGCGACCAGTAATACAAAACACCAATTTTGAGTTGAAATCGGTGATGTTTCAAATGTTGTAGTCCTTGGGGCAATATGGTGGGGCATTTACCGAAGATCCTATAGCGCACCTTCAAGCATTTGTAGAGGTATGTGATTTGTTTGTTCATTAAGGGGTTCGTAAGGAAGCACTAAAGCTAAAGCTTTTCCCTTATTTGTTGTGATACAAAGCTAGAGTTTGGTTAACATCACTGTCGCCTAGTGTTATAGCATCCTGGAATAAGTTAACTCAAAAATTCTTACTGCAATTCAACCCACCTAATATGAATGCTAAACTTAGGAATGCCTCACTTCCTTTAAACAATTAGAGGATGAGAGTTTGTACGAAGCTTGAGAGCTTTTTAAGGAATTGTTGTGAAAATACCCAATGCACAGATTCCCGTATTAGATACAAATGGAAATGTTTACAATGGGTTGAGCATGCATACTCAAATGGTGGTAAATGCTTCAGCAAACAGTGTATTGCTAGATAAGACATATAATGAGGCATATGATATTTTGGAAAGAATATCAAACAATGACTACCAATACCCCAATACGAGGAACATGTTCGATAGAGGCATTGCTATAGTAGTAGACAATGATGCTCTGAACACACTGACCACACAAGTAACAACATTGGCTAAAATGATAAAGAACATGGAAAAGCCTGCTGGTAGGTATGATGTAAAAGATACATCTCTTGTCAATTGTGTTTATTGCGGTGATAACCATAATTTTGAAGAATGTCCACAAAACCTCGAGTCTATGTATTTTTTGAGAAAATATGACAGGAATGCCAATGCCAATTCTTATGGGAACACCAACAACCAGAATATCCAAAATCATCCCAACTTGTCTTGGAGGAGTCATAATTTAGCCAACCTCAACACCACATTGCAATCAAATTTTGGGAATGCACAACAACATTATTCGTACAAACAATATACTCAGCAGAAGTCGATAATGCAGCATCAATAGACACACCATCAAGCAATGCCACAGTAACAACGCAAAAACTAGCAAGGGTATAAAGGGCAGTCTTTCAATCAACCCTCTACTTCAATATCAACATCGCCTGAGTCTCTACTGAAGGATTATATCTTAAGAAATGAAGCAACGAATCAAAAGAAAGAAGCTTTGATCCTATAACACCTACAACTCATATACCTATACTAATACATGTTATAGATGTCACATGAGTTACTTAAAACATTTTCCAACTCAAAAGTCATTAAAATTAATTTCTCCAAAATGTAGTTATTAATATAAAATATAAATCACTTAAAACTATCACATGATTTTTAAAACATATATTAATATAAAATACATCTCTTATAATAATAATACTGATTAATAGCATCCATAGTACAATAGTTTTGTTTAACCATTACAAATCAGTTCCAAAACAGCTCAACAGAGCAACTAGGACATTCATATGTACATGTCACTAACTAAGTCAAAATCACATCAAAGGATGTCTTACTAATATTGTAATATACTCCTCAATGCTTGGTGTTACTCATTACTCCTTACTCCTACTCCTGATCTTTTCCTACGCGTGAAAATTATCACTCACTAAGTATATACATAGTGAGGCTATTAAAATAATAAACAGTATAGTACAACTCATGTATGAAATTAAATGTCATTTTCCAATGCAATAAGATCACCTTACCTGTATGTTCAAAATTCACCACAATCTACATGACAATGATATAAATATAATCATTTTCACCAATAACTATAACCCAAATTATTAATCCATGAGGAACCTGGTATAGGAGTCAAATATTGCACAATAGTGCTGTGGTCGAGCCTTGCTCACCTAATAATGTACCATAGTGCTAAGGTTGGGGCTCACCCACCTTGTACTATGTGTCATCACTAGACACTCTAGTACTACTTAAATTTGTAGTTGTTAGACTCTATGACATACAATTAATACCACTGAACCTTAATAACATACTTGGGCATCTAGTCATGAATTAAGCCATCTACGACAACGTATATCGATATGGTTTTAACGACGGGCAGTTCATGCCCGAATTATCATTCATAACATATCATCACAATATGATTAACCAATGCATTATATTTTCAATCTTGACATTTTTAGGATATGTCTATAATATGATAAATGACATAAATTTCATGCTAATAAAAATATGGTAGACTTATCGCAAGTCTTTCAACAAATGTATAAAACATCCATGTATAATATCATGCATGCATTGCACTCACCTTGACACTTTATAAATATATACAAAAATATTAGCCCACTAAGCTTCCAACTTGTCCCTTTTTATAAACAATTAGCTTCGAGCACAAAATCAATCACGATCTGTAAAAAATCACAAATTATATGGATACATATGTTAGTATTGTACTAACATAAATACATTTCCAAAACAAAATCCATAATCATACTTGAAACTTATTCATTATCAAAATACTTCAACACTTATTAATTCTTTTAATTTTGGCACCCACTTTTCCAACTTATATAAAATGGTCCTTTACTATTTTATCACTTAAACTTTCAATACTAAAATTCCAGCATTGAAATTATTACCAACCAAGTACATTTACAAAGGCATAATTACAAATAAACACCCCAAACTATTCGAATATTGCATTTAAATAACCAAACTTTCCAAACTTCCAAAATGATCTAATTTCACATCCCAACACTCATTTCAATTCCCAAACAGCAATTTCCAGCATAGTACATCAACTATTGAACAATTACATTAACCCATCATTTCTCTAAAATTAATAATTTGGTCCCCTAACTTTTTTAAATTACCAAATAGTCCCTAAATTTTTATAAGGCTTGTAGAATACTTCCTACATCATTTTCAGTCCTTACATAAATGTTCCCTAATTTTTCTGATCCATATAAGCCATGGTCAAATGTTCCAAAGCTCCTAGACTAGGTTTTTCATGATTTTGCTAGATTTTGATTCGATTCAAGCAAGAAATCAACTTTCATACAACCTTACAATATTTCCACAATCAAATCCCTAATCTAATTTCATCAAAACACAGTTTCCCAACTTATAGTTTAGTCGAATATCAAAGAAATATTTCTAGGAAGATTGAACTTGTTGAAATCAGCAAACAAGCTTGAACATGAATCTACAACCTCAAAAACAATAATATTCATCACCAATTCCATAAACCCTAATATGAACATAAACCTTAAAATTTGGGATCTTTGAAATAAAGCAAGATTAGCAAGCATAAATGGTACCAAAAGATAACGTTTTTCGCGAAGAACAATTTTTTATATCACGACATAAATTAAAATCCAAAGAAAATTGCTCAAAAATTGAAAAGAAATTTTCTCTCACCATTGGAGGAGCTCACGGCTTGGGAGGAGGAAGATGAACAAGATAACATGAAATTTAGATAAATTTCATGTTAATTTACCATTAATTTAAGCTTAAATGAATATTTATTCATTTAATTGGGAAAAGACTAATTTACCCTTAACAAAACTTCATATTTACCATAAAACCAAAACACCTCAACCTCATCATCTTCCAAAAGTCAAAGATGAACAAAATATTTCCTCATTATCGTTTTTCCCTTACAATTTTCCAAAATTACAATATTACCACTTTAATCCAACGGTCCAAGTTTAACATGGAATTAAATCCTCAAATCCAATGGTTTATATTATTTTCCATCATTTTAAAATATGGAAATAATCTTTTAAGCCTAATTTATCATCTTTCAATTTTTCCTAAAATTTATATTCGAACCGATTTATCGAATTTTTACCAGACTTTAACACTTTATAGTTTTTAACATAATTTCTAGATCAAGAATATAATTTCAATAAAACCTCACTTTCAAGAGTAAACTCTTCGTTTATGGAATAAAATTTCTTTTTGGGAAAATTACCACTTAGATCCATGAATTTTTCCTAATTTTCTACTTTGTCCACCAAACTTTCAAAATTTACATTTTGTTCACTAAACGAAATTTTGGGTATTATGATTCTTCCCCCTTAAGTAAATTCATTTTTTTTAAATGTACCTAATGAGAAGAGGTGTCGATATTGTTTCCTCATGTCCTCCTCCCTTTCCCAAGTAGCTTCCTCGACTTTATGATTTTGCCAAACCACTTTAACTAGAGGAATCATCTTGCTACGCAGTTCTTTGATTTCTCGAGCCAAAATTTGTATTGGTTCTTCTTCATAAGTCAAATCTATTCATATCTCAATTTCCTCTAGTGTAATAACACGTGAAGGATTCGATCGATACTTTCTAAGCATCTACACATGAAAAACATTATGAACTTTGTATAACTCCGAAGGTAATGCTAACTGGTAGCCACCAGTCTGATTCTCTTTAAGATCTCATAAGGTCCAATAAATCTTGGACTTAATTTTCCTTTGCGCCAAAAATGTAATATCTTTTTTCCAAGGTAATACTTTAAAAAAAACTTTATCACATTTATGGAATTCAATCTATTTTCTCTTCAAGTCTGCATAAGACTTCTGCCGATCAGATGCTATCTTGAGATTATCTTGAATTATTATAACTTTATCCTTGACCTATTTCAATAAATCAAGCCAACAAAATCCCGATCTTTTAACTCTAACCAATTTAATGGTGTTCGACACTTTCTCCCATATAATGCTTCGTACAGAGCCATCTTGATGCTCGATTGATAACTGTTGTTGTAGGTAAATTCTGCTAAAGCTAAATATTTTCCCACGATCCCTTGAACTCAATCACACATGCCCTCAGTATATCCTCTAATATCTAGATAGTACATTAACTGACCATCATTTTGTGGATTAAAGGCCATACTAAAATTCAATCGAGTACCGAAAGTTTTATGCAAAGAATTTCAAAATCTTGATGTGAACCATGGATCCTTGTTAGATATTATCGATACTGGCACTCCATTCAGTCAAACTATCTCTTTTATATACAATTTTGCATACTTATCTAATGAATAGTCCATTCGCACTGGAATGAAATGTGTCGACTTTAATCGGTCAACTATCACCAAAACGGAATCCTTCTTATTTGGTGTCAAAGGTAACACTGTAACAAAATCCATAGTGAATCTTTCCCACTTTCATTATGGAATTGAAATCGGTTACAACAATCCCGAAGGTACTTAATGTTAAACTTTTACTTGTTGACATGTCAGACAATTAATAACAACCTCAGTGATGGCTCTTTTCATGCCAGACCACCAATACCGATTCTTTAAATCCTGATACATTTTGTTCCCACCTGGGTGTATAGTCAGCAGACTATAATGTGCCTTAGAAAGAATATATTTCTTTAACTCATCATCATGTGGAATGCATATTCTTCCTCGGTAATACATACATTCATTAGACTTGACATCAAAGTCTTTAGTCTCATCTT